AGTGATGCCACACCCTGGCTTTCTTTCCCTGTCTGAAATGGAGCCAATAGAATCATAAGTCAGTCTAGCTAGTGAATGTACAGTAGTTGTTATGGGTCTATATCTATCACTCACTTCATACATAGGTCTTGAGTACTTTCCCTGTGCCAGGTACTGAGCTAGGCACTGAAAATATAGTGGCAAAGAAAGGAGACCTGTTCCTGCTGTCTTGGGGCTCATGGCCTGGAGGGAAGACAGACTTAAACCACAACGTAAGTTTAAGTAAGCCTCAGTCCTGAAAAAGAAGTGCAGGAAATGTAACTTTCCTTATTTTTCTATAACTGAACTCAGTTTCTATTTTGAGGCCCCATCCTGCCAGGGGCCAGAAACTTAATCTCACGTATGTTCCTCAACATTGGGTGCTTTCAGCAAAGAGTTCTAATGCTCTTGGGGTAGCAGGCAAATGTATCATTGGTGACACCATCTGCCCACACTGTTTGCCCTCCACCCACTGCACCTCATGACTCTCTGAGCCTTGGTCACTGCAGAGCCCCTGTTCGTCACTACCGTGTTCGACCCTGATTCCTGACTGACAGCTGCTTTACCTCTGCCAGCTGTCTCTGCTATGCCTGCACCCTGCTTCCACCTCTGTCCTGCCTTCAACAGGCCCTGCCCTGCAGTATTCCTTTCCTCTAAGCAGCATTCCACGCTGCAGCCAGAGGGAGCTCTCCAAAACCCGTATCTGACCCTGTACCTTCCTGGCTTAAAACCTGGCAAGAGCTCTACAGTCCCCCTCGTGTTTTTTCAGTTGTAACAGCAAATCCTTGTTCACCTCTCCCTTCCCGTGCCTACAGGCAAACCAAGGAAGAGCAATGATTTAAACAATGCACATATACATTTACTGTGTACCACTTTGCTTATATCAACTCATTTAAATCCTCACAAGAACCCACAAGTAATTTTTATTCTCCTCTTTGTAATTGATGAGGAAACTGGGGAACTGGGAGGTTAAGGCCACATAGCAAATGAATGGCAGAGAGAGGCGTCAAACCCAGATGGTCCAGCTTCAGAGACTGCGCCTTTACCCATGAAGCCAAGGCCCTGGAATTGAAAAGCTTTCCTTTACCAGCAGACCATCTCTTTTCTTACCCCCAAACCTTCATGTAGAAATTCCCCAGCCTGGATATCTTCCCCTGGCATCCCTTTCTTTTTATTTTATTTTTAAATTTTAGATTCAGGGGATACATGTGCTGACTTGTTACATGGGTAAATTGTGTGATGCTGAAGTTTGGATTTCTAATGATCCCATAACCCAAGTAGTGAACCTAGTACCTGGCAGGTAGCCTTCAGCCCTTGCCTCTTTCTCCCTCCCCTCTTTATGAATCCTGGGTTATTGTTCCCTTGGTGTCCCTGTGCACCCTATGTGTAGCTCCCACTTCTAAGTGAGAACATGCAGTATTTGGTTTTCTGTTTCTGTGTTTGTTCACTTAGCATAATGGCCTCCAGCTGCATCTATGTCACTGCAAAGGACATGATTGTATTCTCTTTATGGCTGCATCCTGGCCCCCCTTTCATCTGGCTCCACTCTACTCATTTTTTAAGTCCACTTTCCAGGACCCCTTCTGGGGCCCCAGGCCCCTGCCAGGTCTCCACAGCTCTGTGCTGTTCCCATGAGAGCCTTTGCCAGCCAGTAGGGAGTTGCTTCCTCACTGTGTACCCCTCTGAGGCAGGACCATCTTAGGCATCTTGAAATGCCTGAAATTTGGTGTGCCAGTGAATGTTTGTAGAATGAGTGATGATCAGTTCAACTAATCCCATACAGTCAAAGTTGTATGAAATTCCTGGAGCAAGCCATTAATAGGCACTTATTAAGCACCTGCTATGTGCCCAGCCCTAAACCAAACACTCTAGGAGAAAAAAAAGTAGTAAATATAAGGCTTAGTTGAGGTTTGGCTCGAGAGGTTCATCCTGGTCAGCTGGAAGTTGGCACAGGGCAGTGGTCTCCAACTTCCAGCTTTAATTTCAAATCATCTACCACTTTTCCTTGTCTTCTAGCCTCTGTTACTTCCAGCCTTCCTGTCATCCTGCCTTTTTCCAGCTTCCTGATTAAATCAGCTTGAAGAAGAGTACCTGGCAAACTTGTTTACAGAAGGGACAAAGACTGATCTCAAGGGGTTGATGGTGTCTTCCAGCATGAGGGAGATTATTCTCCTCACTTGACAGATGATTCTTCTACTTTTGGTAGAGAGGAATAAAATAGATGGAATCATACAATGTCAGTATGGGATGTATCTTTGAGAATTATTTAGTTCTTTCTCTATTTTATTTTATTTTATTTATTGAGATGGAGTCTCACTCTCATTGTCCAGGCTGGAGTGCAGTGGTGTGATCTCGGCTCACTGCAACCTCCGCCTCCCAGGTTCAAGCGATTCTCCCACCTTAGCCTCATGAGTAGCTGGGATTACAGGCGTCCGCCACTACACCCGGCTACTTTTTGTACTTTTAGTAGAGACCGGGTTTCACCATGTTGGCCAGGCTGGTCTCAAATTCCTGTCCTCAGGTGATCCCCTTGCCTTGGCATCCCAGAGTGCTAGGAAAGCCACCATGCCCCGCCTCCTAATTTTAAATATAAGCATAGACCCCGAGGCTTTCTACAGGTCGCCCAGTAACTGAGCCAAAACTAGAATCCAGGCTCTGTTTGGATTTGTTGGCTTCTGGCATTTGGTATCCTTGTCTCCAAATCCATTGTTTGTCAACTTCACAGACTAGGACTCCTATTTCTAAAACTAATCCTGTTCTTTACTACTCATTGCCTTTCAACCTTTAATCTAAGTGAGTTTATTGAAGCATGCCACAATTTTCAGGTGCTATGTCAGGCAGCTAACACGGGATCTGTAACACAGTTACACAGTAGTCTTCCAGATTAGGTATTATTATCCCTATATCAAGATGAGAAAACTAGTCAGTAACTTCTCTAGCTAACACTCAGTTAAGATTCGAACGCAGGTCCCAGGTCCCAGGATTTTCTGCTTCTCTGGTCCCTCTGCTTTATTGGTCCATGCAATGCTTTTGGCCTTGGCCAGGGATGGCATTTTCTCTCTACTCTTCCATGCTCTCACAGTCTTCCTCATACTCCTCCCCCACCACCAAAAAAAAAAAAAAAAAGGAAAGATCTCCCCATTTCCTGATAATTTTGAATCATATCTGACCTCCAGCCCGCAGATGAGTCTAAAATCTCCCCCCTCCTTGCCCGACACCCACCCTAGGAGAGGGAGCTCTAGGCAGCTGCGGCCTCTGGTCTGCCTTTGTTTTCTCTCATTCTTTTATTAGCTGCCTAATTGGCAGCACAATTAATCTGCTCATCTGTGAAGGAGGATGGATCACAATGAGCTACTCCATTTCCAGAAGCCATTCTCTGAGGCAGTGTGGCCAGGCCCTGAGCGCAGGCTGGCTCCTTGATGAAGGGCCGCCCCGGGAGCTGGGGTCAATTAGTGGACAGATTAAGCAATTATTAGCCCCTAACAAGGGCGCCTGGCATCATTACCCTGCCTGTTTACTGGCAAACTGCGGCTTTAATATGAGGACCAACAAATAAATTAGGGCATCTGGTCCACTGCCGCATTGGCTGAGAAGTAAATGATGTCCAACTGGCTTTCAGCTGCCTATGGATTCTCAGCCCTGGCCTAATGAAAAGTCTGAGATGTCCCTCACTGGTCACAGCAGCTCTGGAATGTGCTCTGGAGTGAGTTATCATTCCAAGAGCTAAGTGGGCACTGGGAACAAGGTTTATTCTTAGTTTTGCTGCTGCCTTACTCCTGCCATCTGTCAAAACCTACCTTTCTGACAGGGCTTAGCTCAAAAGCTTCCTTCCTGACGCCTTTCTTATTCTCTCCAGCAGGAAGGGGGTCCTACTTCTGCACTGTGGGAGGGTTTTGCATTCTCCTATCACTTTCTGGCGTTATCATAATTTCATGGAATGCTACAGTGCCATTTTGCCCATTTTTTTTTTCAGGTCTCTGATGAAAAAGTAGAAAAGTGAGGGAGAAAAGGAGAGGGACAAAGGCTCAGAGTTGTTTGTTTTCTCACCTCCTATCCTATGGGTATATGCAAGCTGTCACCAGAGGGATATCAAGGAGGAAGTGACAGGATTTGATTCGCACTTTCAGAAGATCCTTCTGGCTGCAGCGCTGAGGGCTCATTTCAGAGGTGGTGGCTGTTATCCAGGCCAGCTGTGATGGTAGTCTGGGTTAGAAGGCAGGCAGCGGAATGGAGAAGAGGGGAAGATTTGCTCTATTCAAGAAAGAGACTTGGGGACTGCCTGGCAGTAGGAAAAATGTCATGGAGACAAATTTTCTAAATTTGGTGACTGGAAGCCAGGGTGATTTTAGTGCCAGTGAGAAGCTGGGAGGCCAGTCATCCTGGAGTCCCGGAACAGGATCCTCTAAATGGGGAAAGAAGCACATTTGGGACACATGACAGAAACTTCCTTCTGCTCATGTGACTTTGGCTAAATGCTTTTCCGCTCTGCTTCCTGGTGTGCCTATCAGCAACATGAGCGTTTAAATCCCTAAGGGCCTTGACCCTGTGATTATCACAGGAAGGCTTCTGATGTCAATGTTTAACTAAGTGTGCCTATTAGAACGCATGCCTTAATTTATTGTTTAGAGCTAGCCCACCTCTCCCCCATCTCTGCCTGATGAAACCTGGTGGGCTCTCAAAGCACAGCTCAAATGTCATCATTCTCAGAAGTCCCCCTAGTTCTCTACAGCAGGAAATGCTCTCTCCCTCCTGCCCACCAGCTTCAATGTTATGTCTTGAATTGTCTCTTGGAAATACAAGTGTATTTGTAAATACGTTTTATACCGGATAACACGTAGTCCCTAGCCACACATCCACAGTGGCCAATCACAACACAGACCACAATCACCTATTGAACTCTTCTTGTTTTCCAAGCTGAGAAAAATGTGTTTCCTTCTTCTTGAAATGCTTTGTGATTAAACCAGACTCTTCTCTTTCCCTAGGGATCATTGACTTCCTTGTAAGCCAGCACCCGATTGCCCGTGTCCTCCGGGAATACCTGGTCTTCAAGATCGCACCAATGCTCAATCCTGATGGAGTCTACCTGGGCAATTACAGGTAAGGAACCGGGGGGGATGCTTGGAAGCAGGCAGTCATAGGATGGTGGTATGGAAGCAAGAAGAAATATGGGATATGTTTTGTGAGGAAGAATTTTGAGGCTGCCCATGAGTTCATTAGAGAAAGTTTCACCGTAGCTCTGAGAAATGTGGTTAATTAGCTCTGGATGTCTCATCCACGCCCACCTAAGGTCACTTGCTGGGGTTTTCTGGCCAGCTCACTGGACCAGGAATCAGGAGACCCAGTATCAGTTTTGGCACCTACTTTCCGTGTAACCTGAAGAATCCACTTTTCCCTCTCTGATGCTCAGTTTCTCTTGCATAATGGAGACAATAATTACTTACCTGAAAGGGAAGTTGTGAGAGCTTCAAAGGAAATGGTGGGAAGGAATGTGCTTTGCAGAATATCGTGTGGTGGTTATAATGATGACTGTTTTGTTGTGTTTCTTCTTGGAAAATATCAGTGAAGGAGAATAGAATTCCAGGTCATCCAAGCAGCATTTCTCTTCAGAGTGGGCACACCAGCCAGCCCCACACCCACTCATGCACTCAGATCTTGAAGTCTCTTTCGCCTGGCTTAGCTTCATAATTTACAGTTTAAAATATCACTGCCCAGAAGATTACCTGCCAAAGGAACACCGACTCATTTGAGATAGATAGTGTTATTGCCCTTATTTCACATTAAGGTAACCCACTTGCCCAAAGTCACACAGCCAGTAAATCATTGACTTCTCCATCCAAATCATACAGTTTTAGAGCTCGTTAGGCCCATGACTTTCAAGATGACATTCAGAACCCATCCCCCCACCCTCCAGCTTTGCATGCCAGGCGTTGTCTGCCCTGCTGCCTGTCTGTCCATCATTCTGCCTCACCTCTCCTCCTCTCCGCCTAGAACAGTTGCTGCAGCTGCACTGAGCAAAGCCCAGTTCCCCAGACATGTCCTGTTGGTTCCTGCTACCCTACCTTTATACAGGCTGCCCACTGCCCAGAAATCCCTTATCCCTCTTCATCCCATTAACTCTTTGCAACTCAGTTCATGTTTCTTATTCTGGAAAATATTCCCTTAAACAGAATTGCCCACTCTCTTCTCTGAGTTCTCACAGGTGTGGTTATTTATTTGGTTGTCTGTGTATTTGTTTATTTGTTTGAGACAGGGTCTTGCTCTATCACCCAAGCTGGAGTGCAGGTGTGCAGTCATGGCTCACTGTGGCCTCGACCTTCCTGGATGCAAATGATTCTCCCACCTCAGCCTCCCAAGTAGCTAGGATTACAGGCACAAGCCACTGTACCCAGCAGGCCTGGTTATTGAACAACTCTTATTCCATTGCATGTCCTCCACTGGACTTAAAGCTACTGGAAGGCAGGGACTGAACTTTAATGGTCTTTGTGTCCCTCGTGCCTGGCAGCAGGGATCAGCACATAGTAGATGCCTAAAACATGTTTCATGAATATGAGAGAATGAGAGGGATGACTCTACTGATGAAGAAACTGAGTCCCAGAGATGAAACAGTATTTACTCAAAGTCAGTGGCCTAACTCAGACCAGAACCAGATCTCCTGACAGCTAGCCAGTCTTGTTTTACACAGAATTGGTTTACCACTTTCCATGAGCATGGCAACAGTGTCCAGAGGGGCTTCCTGTTACCACTGGGTATGAGTTAGAGAGAGCCCATGAGATGCATGAAGGCTTCATTAAAGACAATTTTGCTTCCACTCTTAATTGGCTGAAGTGATGGTTCATTAGCATTCACAAGTTTCATGGCTTGTTGCTGGCCTGAGAGCAATGCCTTTCCACCATCCCTGGACCGAGTGTACTGTTAGTGATAATGGTGATAGAAAGACCATTTGATTTATGTTAATGTTTCTGTTTAATTACAAGGAGAGTGGTCAGAGAGAGGTCAATACTTCTCTACACACATTTATTTATGTCATCATCTGCTATCTCAGGAAGGACTAGAAGAAGGTCAGTGACCTTGGCCAAAATGCCTTCCCTGTCAGGGTCTTAGGTGGACACTGGGGTGGTGATGAGGGCTTAATGTCTTCTACATGTCTTCAAGCTCCAGATTTTGTGATCTGGGGACTCCAGGATAAAAGAGTTCCAACCCTCAGAAATGATTTCACGCTGAAGCTTCAACCCCCAACATTCTCCTAGTGAGAATATGTGATTCTTCTTATGATAGTTGGAGAGCAAGTCTAACCACAAGCATTAATCCTGTTGCTAAAACTGTGCAGCAAAGAGCCTATCAATCATGAGAATTCACTACTTAAAGCTTTAGAAAATATAAAAAAAAATAAAGACTGAGAATTGAGAACTTCAAGGTGCCTTAGAGGTCCCCTAGGCCAGCTCTTCTCAGAGCCACACTACTGTCTACAGCAATATTTTCATGATTTGGCAATACTTGCCAAGGTGTTATGGGGAGAAATTCAGGGTTCAGATGAGTTTAGCAAAGTTAAACACAATGTTCTTTTACAATAAGACTTTTCAGAATTTGGAATATGATTATAAACACAGGGAATCTAAGAGAGGAAATAGTACTCAGTGTTTCCCAAAAATCAGTGAGACGGAGCCCACAACCTCCCTGTAACCACTGTTAGGGTTTATGAAGCACATTTTGGGAAACGCCACTCCAAGAATTCTATTTGCCACCCCAATAGCCTGTGAAGCACTCACACACTGATCTTGCTTAATCCTCTGAACTCTGTGACAGAGGAACTTTAAATGTTAAAGTTTTCCTAAATGCAAATAATAAAAATATACTCAAACTGGCTTGAGTACAAGAGAAAAGGTGGCAAAGGAGGGAGGGAAGGAAAGAAGGAGGGAAAGAAGGGAGGAAGGAAGGAAGGAAGGAAGGAAGGAAGGAAGGAAGGAAGGAAGGAAGGAAGGAAGGAAGGAATGAATGTTGGTTCTCAGAATTCTAGTGCAGTAAAGAGAACCAGATTTCCCAGGAACTGATCAAATTGCTGGAAACATGTTGGAAGACAGGTGGCCAGGTCTTTGCCTTTCCCTCATGCTCTTTCACTTTCATTTTCTCAACATCTCCCACTGGAGGTGCAGTTTCTTAAGCCTCAGAGAAGGTAAGCCATCTCCCTGAGGTCTGTGGCCTATGAGGAGAGGACAGGGATGCAGGTGTGCCCCACAGTCCCACACGCCCCCTATGGCCAGCACAAGGCCTGCCAGACCCTGGGAGGAGAAACAAAGACAGGCCTGCCTTGAGGCACCTCGCTCTGCTGGCTGGAAAGATGGTTCAACAGGCCAGCTCCCTGCACTGTGAGAAGGGAAGGCAGGAGGTTGGAGGGAGTAAAGGTCAGTGATTGAGAAAATGGAGTTGGACATCAGATCAGATTTCAATTCTGCTCTGCCACCTACTTGCTGTATGACCTTGGGTAAATTACATGGCCTCATTAAGCTTCATTTTTCTCACCTGTAAACGGAGATACTGTAGTTATGAGGCTTTTGTGAGATAACACATTTAAAGCACAGTGCTAGGCACATTATAAGTTCTAAATAAACATTTATTCCTCTTTCTCTTCCTCCTATTCCTCACTCTTCCACATTAAAGAAGCATATAGTCCAATCTAGGAAGAATGGTCAGAGAGATTCCCAAATTTAATCAGCTAAGTTTAGATTTAATAATACAACTACCTATTCTATGGTATTTATAGTGAACTAGAGAAGGTACACTCTAGAATTTAATAGCAATAGATGGCCACTATACCATGATAGATCATGCTCTTTATATTAAAGAACAGCAACATTTTCTAACTAGGCTACTGTATATGATACCAGACTATGGTTTAATGTAACAGTATATGGGGCCTATACTAAAGTTTATAGCAACAATAAATAGTAACTATAGTATGTGCTACAGTAGCTATATTTAACAATTATGTTGGATGATATAACAATAGTTAACAATTATATAGTAAAAGCACAGAGCCACTATACACCCTATCTTACTTTCTGCACTCCAATTGCACTGCCTTTTTTTTCATTTCAGGTCTTAGGTTTAATGTCACTTCACAGAAAGGCCTTCCCAGGGCTTGCAATATATAGTGAGTCTCCCATTACACTCTTTCATAGCGCCCTGTAATCTCCCTTTATGGCTCTTGCCCTGATTTTTCATTGTTTATTTATGTGACTATTTGTTTAATGATGGTCTTCACCTTTAGACTATAAACTCTATGAAGTCAGGACTTTGTTTCCCTTGTTCTCTGTATCCCCAGTACCTGGAAAATGGGCTCTGGATCTGTATTTTATTTTTCTAGTCACCGACTTGAAGTTCAGATATATGTTTCCAGAATGAACAAATGAACTAAACAATAGTGTTTAGTGACTGTACGATGGCACAACGCTTCAGTGCCCAGTGTAGAGTAACTAGGGCCAGACGCGGTCAGCCTCCAACACTTTACCTTCATCTTCATGGTCTCCTCGTCCCAATTGTTTTAACTGTATATTGTTGTGACAGCAATCTGCTATGATGTAACATGATGAGCTGCTGTTACAATTTAACAAAATGGATTCTCAGCCCTACTTAGTTATTGCATGGAGCATGATACTTTTAATGGCCCTTACAAACCACATTTGGTCATACAACAGCGACCAAGAACGGAAAGCCAGTTTTTATTATAACCATTTATGCCATGGGGAAACCAAGGCTGAGAAGGTGAAGAGCCATGTTCAAGGCCATAGGGTGCATCCAGGGGCTCCCCACACTCCCACACATTGCCTTTGCTCTATAAGCTGTAGGCGGAAGTGGAGAACTGAGGGTCTGATTTTCACCACTCTCCTGAGCATTCTTATTTGTCCTTGGACAAGACACTTCTCTCCCCTGGACTGTTTCTCTCCTACTCTCTTAGAAGAGGGAAATGGGATGAAAGTCACCTTCCATCATGTAGTAGAAGCACTGGGGAGAGGTTTTATCAAGAATGAGAGGGCTACAGCACGAATGAAAATTGAGGACATTACGCTAATGTAATAAACCAGTCATAAAAGGACAAAGAT